AAAAGCATTGAAACCTTATACTTATTAAAACTATAATTCACACTTCTGTCTCTCCTGTACTTTGTGAACAATCATTCTACTTTTTGTTCCTATGACTTTGACTACACTTCAGACCTCATGTAGGTAGGGCTGTAAAGGATTTGTCTTTTAGTGAATGATATTTCTTCTAGAATGATGTCCTCAAGATTAATCCATGTCATAGCATAGCATGTATCACAGTTCTTCTCCTCTCCTCTCTTCTCCTTTCCTCCTTTCCTCTCCCTTCCCCCCTCCCCTCTTTCTAATTCCCCTCTCTTTCTAATTCCCAGAGTGTAATAAACATCCTTATCTATCCAGCTTCTCCACCTCTTGGCATACAGATGGGCCACAGAGTGGTATCAGGGCCCAATGCGCCATGCACCCCAGAGATGCCCACATCCTCATCCTAAGCCTGGGACTATTTATGAAAGGGACTTTGCAGATGTGATCAAGTTAGGAATGCTAGATAGGAAGTTAAGTCTTAGGATCTATGTAATCATTAGGGTTTTCATAGGTAAAGGAGAGTTAGCCAGGCTGTGCTGCTGACCTCAAAAGTGACTCAAGACTCCCTGCAACTAGAAGCTGAAAAAGGGAAAGTTTAGCCCTGCTGAGACCTTGATTCTAGCCCCACAACAGCATTTTTTGACCTTCAAAAACTTTAAGATAAAATCTCCAAAACTTAAAGATAAATTTTATTTTATGCCACCAAGACCACTACCCAGGGGAATAACCTTTCTAACATCTTGTCGTCTCTCCCCATTTCTTGCTCCAGACTTCCATTTTAGAGCTCTTTTTTGTCAGACACTTTGTACTCATATACTGTTTTGTAGAATAGGAACTCCTTTGTACAACTACTTAAAGATAATAATAAAAAATAAAAATAAAAATCTCTTTTTTTCCAGTCCCAAATCATAAATCTCCATGAGTGTGTTGGTAGAGCCAGATAAAATACCTGACTCATAAATATGAGCTCATAAATACAAATCCTTTACAGCCCTATCTATATGAGGTCTGAACCGTAGTCAAATTCATAGGAACAAAAAGTAGAATGATTGTTCACAAAGTACAGGAGAAACAGAAGTGTGAATTATAGTTTTAATAAGTATAAAGTTTCAATTTTATAAGGTGAAAAACTGCAAGAGATTAATTAGTTGGTTAGTTGCACAGCAATCCTAATATATTTAACACAGCTAACTGGTATCCTTTAAAATGGTCTTTGGTTTATTTTTTTAATCTAATAAACTTTAAAAAGATATTGATGCAATTACATTTCTTTATGATCCAAATAATAGTAGAAAAAAATCTAAAAAGGCTACCAGTAACAGCAATTGCTCCCTGATACCACTCTGTGGCCCATCTGTATGCCAAGAGGTGGAGAAGCTGGATAGATAAGGATGTTTATTACACTCTGGGAATTAGAAAGAGAGGGGAATTAGAAAGAGGGGAGAGGGGAAGGGAGAGGAAAGGAGGAAAGGAGAAGAGAGGAGAGGAGAGGAATTGTGATACATGCTATGCTATGACATGGATTAATCTTGAGGACATCATTCTAGAAGAAATATCATTCACTCTAGAAGAAATATCATTCACTATTCACTCTATCATCCACTCATGGAGGTGGTGGAGAAATCATCATATAAAGCCTACTTGGGCCTGACACCTTTGGGACATTTTATTGTTTTGATGGTTATCCCCATTGATCTATAAGTAATGCTAAAATAAAATATTCTAGGTCATCATTCAAAGACATTCGTTTCTGCTGGAATTTATTTCCTACATTTGAAAGGACCCCATCAGATGCACAACAGGAGCCCTCAGCTGCTTCCCTTGCTCATTCGTTGTATTTTCATCTTTTGTAAATTACGTTCCCTGTCCCACCAATGACTCTTCACATCATTTCACAAAAGTACAGACCTGTGGCACCTCTCGAGATCACACTGGGAGCTGCATGCTGTCATTCAGCCATCCATCCCATCTTCCCACAAGCAAGATTTATCAGAGGCCCCCTGTGACAGGCCCTGAACTAGGGATCAGGGTGTGAAGATACAATGCACAAGCTGTGCCTTTACACAGGCCCCAGGTGTTGGATTTGATGGCTTGAGAACAGTAAGCATACCTTTTTCCCCTTCTGTAAATGTCCAAAGATTTTTTTTTTCTGAGAAGCAATTGGTGTACAAGAACCTCATTGACCAACGAGTAAAGGACAGGAAGATCCCAGCTAGTTTTCTAGTTTGTATTCAAAGCCGGGCAAGAGTTAAAAATAGTTAGATGATAGATAAGCACAGATGAAAACCAGCTCAGTTCAGTGTTACTTCCACCTTTATCGTTTTCAGTCCTGCCTACCTGCTTTTAACTCAGGGAACTAAGGGTTTGAATGAAGCCTGCTGGAGGTTCCAATTAAATCTTTGTGGACAAAGGACACACACACACACACACACACACACACACACACACACACATCATCCTCAGATAACAGGTGGCAATAAATCCATCAGTGCATCCACTTTCAGAGAGCAGAGTCCTCTTACTCACGAACAGCTGCCAGTATATTGAAGAGTGCCTCACACCAACATGAGCTATAAGGTAAGGCATTTTTCTCTCTCTTCAGAAAAATTTAATAATTCCCTGCAATTTGTGTCTGTTATGAAAAGATTTTTGGCTTATCAAGTTTACCTTTGATTTGCTGGCCAGTTCTTGGTGGTTTTCTGGCTTTTTGTTTTAGTTGTTTTTGTCCTTATTCTCCTTAGCATCTTTTAGTTTTCATTTTTGTTTTTCTTTAAGGCTTGTTTTCATCCTTTTGATTGTAAGGATTTAGGAATGAAGGGTGTGCGTAATTGCATGTAGTTTCTGGTTAAAGATTACCTAGGAATTTGGTTTGCTGAGTGCTTGATTGCTTGAACTACATTATGGAAGGTATTCTTCCAGCCTGGTCTAAAAACAGTTAAGCTCAGAGCTTACGGTAATTTCAGTATTTAAGACTGACATTGAGCTGATTGATTCTCACTTAAAACTACTGCTTATTGTTATGAAATTAGTTCATTATAGAATATTTGGAAATGACAAAAGAAAAAGACAAGGTACTTTTAAGTCATTGATTAGAAATAGCATTTGGTTCTGTGTCTTTCTAGTCTTTTTAAATTGTGTACCTATATCTATTTTTAATGTGATTGAGGTCACACCATAAAGACAATTTAATATCCTTTTTTTTGCTTAGCATTAGTTTGAAAGTCATTAAAATTATTTGAACATGTGAATCTGAAATATTCCTTTTTTCACTAATAAAAATAACTTAATAAGCAATCATTTTTACCACAAATCTTTGACTGCACCTCATATTATGTCTTTAGGACTAGGTCCTTTTAAGTAGAATTACCAAATCCAAGAGTATACCATTTTTTAAGATGTTATTCATTTCATGACAGTAGTTTATGTTCAAAATTCAAATGTTGATATTTTTTATACCATTACAAAAGCCACATAACAGAAAAGGAAATCTTATCAGAAACTGTGATTACCTAACATTGGATAAGGTGACATAATGTTAATGAATGGTATGCAATCTTAAATAGGAACTTAATTGTGAAAGGTAATATCTTTATCTTATTTATTCTAAGTAAAAGTACACAGTAAATAAAACACTTCTTGCGTAGGGGTTCTCAGCTTAAATAAAAGAATTAGAGCAATTCGTAAACTACAAAGGAAGGGGAAATGGTGGAACAAAAGTATGAAAATGGAAAGACTTGGCAGCACCGCGGGGCTGCAGGCTAGAGGACTGCAACTTTAAAGCCAGCGTGGGCTCCATAGTGAGAGCTTGTCTAAAAGATCCAAAGGAAGAAAGAAGGGAGGGAGGGAGAGAAAGAGGAAGTAAGGGAGGAAGAGAAAAAAGAAAGGAAGAAAGAAAGAAAGAAAGAGAGAGAAAGAAAGAAAAAGGAAGGAAGGAGGGAAGGAAGGAAGGAAGGAAGGAGGGAAGGAAGGAAGGAAGGAAGGGAGGGAAGGAGGGAGGGAGGGAGAAAGAAAGAAAGAAAGGAAAGAAAGGAAAGAAAGAAAGAAAGAAAGAAAGAAAGAAAGAAAGAAAGAAAGAAAGAAAGAAAGAAAGAAAGAAAGAGAAGGATGAAGGAAGGAAAGGAGGGAAGGAGGGAAGGAGAGAGGAAAGGAAGAGAAAGAAGGAAGGAAAGAAAGGAAGGAAGGAAGAAAGAAAAAGAAAAAGAAAGAAAGAAGGAAGGAAGGAGAGAGAGAGAGAGAGAGAGAGAGAGAGAGAGAGAGAGAGAGAAGAAAGAGAAGCTTGGGATTTCATTCCCATTTGGCACAAACTGTGTTAGACAGAAGAAATCACACAGGTTCCTGAATCTCTGGGGTTTTTTGTTTGCTTATTTTTTTTTTAACGGTGAGATGACAATTTTGATTAAGACCAATGTTTGTCAATGGTCAGTATGAGTCACACTGTGTCAACCCAAAGAGATTTTGAGGAAGTACTTAGAATCAAGACCATAATTGTTTAGTGATGTGTAGATATAGAACATAACTTATTTGCGTAGATTTTTTAAATGACACTTTAGTATTTCAGAAGTTTGGATTTATTACAAACAGGAAGTAAATAAGAATCTGGGTGAAACCAACCTAAGCCACCAAGGTGAGACGTGAATGCCTGCCATTTGAGAACCATGGACAGGTGCTTTGTGGCATCTCTCTACATGCTAGCAATAACCCAAGTACAAATCACCAGCAAGTAAGCAGAACTTACCTGGCAGGCATTCTGGGAATTGTAGAGTTACTGAGATGCATAAGAAAAAAAACAACAACAGAGATACAGGGACTGAGAATTCACAGATGCCATCCCAATTGCTTCGTACTTTTCATTATAGCAGTGAGTTTTACTCACCTGGGCAGATCTCCTCCACCTTCTTCTACAGAAGACCTGTAGCTGTAGCAGTGTCCATCCTAAACACCTAGAGAAGACTGCACCCCACTCCAAGCTAGGCCTCACAATGCTCCGGGCTGTCCTGGGAGCTCCGCAGCGGGTCCTGAAGGAGGGGAGAGCATCTCCACAGCTGGTGCTGGTGGTGGTGTTTGTCGCTCTGCTCCTGGACAACATGCTCCTGACGGTGGTGGGTACGTCGGTCTCCTTGCTCTGTCAACTTGCTCATTTCTACGACACTGGCAGACAGTACATACCATACCTAAGGTCAGCAGTGAGGAGGATCAGAGATTGCCAGGGATTAGAAGGATGTGCTGGCCATTGTTAAGGTTTCAGGAGAAGGAAGGTCAGAGGGCAAGAAAGCCCTTGTGCCAGGATGACCTTGCTTTTTCTTCCTCTCAATTCTGTCCACCTAAGGTGCTACTGCACACAGTGGCCTTTGGCACAATCAGCATCTTGCCTCTGTGATTTTTCCCAGTAACTAATCAACTCTTGATCAGTTCTTTCTTGAAGCTTATCCACTCAGATTCAGGCTCATCTAGCAGACACTCACAAATGTTATGCTATGTTATGGCAATGTATGGATGTGTGTGTGTGTGTGTGTGTGTGTGTGTGTGTGTGTGTGTATGCTATCCCTGAGCTTTTTTGCTCTAGCCTAGCACCCTACCATTTGAGCCACGCCTCCACTTCCAGAGTTTTGGTGGTTAATTGGAAATAAGAATCTTACAGACTTTCCTGTCCAGGCTCTCTTCAAACTATGATCCTCAGATCTCAGCCTACTGAGAAGCTAGGATTACAGGCATGAACTACCTGCACCTGGCTGAATGGATATTAGCACACATAAAATATATGCTTTTAACTGAGACAAGTGGTTAGTGCATTATAGACTATTATTATTCTTCATGGTTCTGTAGTTATAGTTATATTCTATAGAGTTATAGAAAATGGAATTAATGAACACGAAATTATTACTTCTAGAGTAACTACACAATCCACTTACACAAGCACACATACACCTATACCTACCATATAGACAATAATCTTAAACTTAATGGAGCATAGCCTTTAAGTTTCTATTTTCTTTACAAAAGAGGACATTGGTTCTAAGTGTTAACTGACATATCCAAGGCTACAAGCAACAGGTGCCAGAATTGGAATTCAAGCCTCATGAAACAGACTAGAGTTATAGTTTCTTATATCCCATCTTTAATCTTTTGGTCATCTTGCTATGATAGATGTGACAAGGAAGCAGAGTTCCAAATTTCCTTCATTCTGCACAATTCTGTTTGTAAATTGATGATCAGGTTATAATAAATCTTAATGAGTAAGCAAATTACCCAGTACAGAATCCACAAATCGAAGCAGAGAAACTATATGATAAGTGAAATTTGTGTACTTTAGCTAATAGGATAACTCGAGTAGATGTGGCCTTTAGTAGATTTTAAATGATGCCACTTAGATATCTTCTTTAACAAAATCAAACCTCATAGCAGTGGTAAACAAATTTGGAAACAGTTCTGTCCTTAGTCCTTGTCGTGTTTCCATTCATTTCCAGTGCCCATTGTGCCTACCTTCCTGTATGCCACAGAGTTCGAAGAAGCCAACTCTTCCCTGCCCACCAGCAATCCTGTCAGCCCCCAGCAGGCTCTCTCCTCGGCTTCCTTCTCCACCATCTTCTCCTTCTTTGACAACACCACCACGATTGTGGAAAGAAGTGCAACCATGGGCTCTGCTCTCCCAACCTGGCCTCCAGTCACAGAAGCCAGCTCGGCACATAAAAACAACTGCTTGCAGGGCACAGAGTTCTTGGAGGAAGAGAACGTCCGAGTTGGGGTTCTGTTTGCTTCAAAGGCTTTGATGCAACTTCTGGTCAACCCATTCGTGGGACCTCTCACCAACAGGTAGCTCAGTGAGCTCAATGCTTCGTAAGTACTCCCAGACACAGGAATAACAGAAGCTGAGGTTTCAAACAGGTGCTTGGGAGAGGAAAAGAGGTGACCCTTGAGGATGAAATGTTACTGAGGAAGTGTTATTTGGGGCCGGGGGGCTTTGTATTTTGCTAGTGATGTAGTGATTATTGAGCATCCAGCAGCAGTGTCCAACAGCTGTAAACTACTGAACAAGCTAAGAGGGCTGCAGGTGGCCAGGAACATCCTTCAATGGCACTGGCTTCTGAGTAATCAGGGAATATCTTGATTTTTTTTCATGATACTGGAGGTTGAACTCGGGGACTTGCCCTTGCTCTAGCTATGTAGGAGCTCTACCACTTGAGTCACTCTGTCAGCCCTTCTTGTACTGGTTATTTTCAAGAAAGGGTCTTGCTCTATGCTCAGGTTCGCCTGGACTCTAATACTCCTATTTGTGCTGCCCCGAGATAACAGGCATGCACCACTGTTCTTGGCCATTGGTTGATATGGAATCTCAGGAACTGTTTTGTTTGGTCTGACTTTGAACTGTCATCTTCCAACCTCTGTCTCCCAAGTAGCAGGGATCACCCATTTGACCCAGTGCCTGCAGCTTTATCCTGATACTTTAGGAGACATACCATATGCAGGTTAAACTTTCTGGAAAAGAGGATTTTGATGTTAGTCTTCTGGTAAATTTGCATGTTTGCCTCTATTAATAACATGTTGTTTTCCATCTCCGTACTTCACATTCAGAGATATGCTCTATCATGTACTCAAATGAATTCATTTCAGTTCCTACAAACAGTAAAAACTGTAGTCCCATCATGTGAATGTCTACTGAATGAGATCTTCTGAATTCCTTTTAGGATTGGCTATCATATTCCCATGTTTGCTGGCTTTGTTACCATGTTTCTCTCTACACTGAGTAAGTAACTTCCTTCCTATTTTCTTCTTTTCATTAAGTTGTTTGATTTTTTTTCATGTGATTGCAGTGCAGAGAGCAGTGTCAGGTTGGACTGGATTGTAATTAGGCATGTGATTACATGACAGCATGTCCACATGAATGTTTAGCAGTTTCTAGACTGGGGCCTAGAATAGCGGTAGCAACTTACTCTCCTTGGGAGTGATCTGTTCTGCTACAATAGATACTTCATTTACTTCTGTGGGAGTCAAGGGTATTGTTTATATATGATTGTGCGTGTGTGTGTGTGTGTGTGTGTGTGTGTGTGTGTGCATGCACACATGCAAACTTTTTTAGTCTTCCAATGTGCATGTTCCAGATGAAGTGGAATAAAGTGGGTCTGCTTCCCCCTCTTACACAAGATGCCCAGGGATTGAAGACGTGATGGATCAGGGTAAATATAGTAGGAAAAGATCTAACTTTGAGACTGTCTCACCAGGCTTAAATTTGAATTCTGGCCCCTGTTGCTGGCAGCCTTGGACATGTCAATTAACACTCTGAATACACTTTTTTTATTGTGAAAATATTGTACAGAGGGGTTACAATTACACGGGCAAGATAATGAGTACATTTCTTATCAAGCATTTTAGCCTCCTCCTTTGTTTCCCCTTCCCATCCTCCCCCTGTCCCCCCACCCAATCTTCCCCGCTCCCCCTCCCCCCCACTTTTTTTAAAATAAAGAAACCAGGATGTATTTGGCAGTGGAAACAAAGTTTTTATCTTTATCATAAAGTACTTGTCTGATTTTTTGGCAAGAACTTACATTTTAAAAGCTTTTAAAAAATCTGTAAAGATTTTATTATTATTATTTTGTATTATTCATCAAACAATAATAATGGTTTTCATGAAATCACCATGGAAACTGTACTGGATTGGTCTCATTCTAGTCAAAAGAAAATACATTTAGTGTATTCAGTGTAGGCATTTAGTGTATACATCATTTTTTAGAGTTGATTCACATGCTTTAGAGTGCCCATTACCACCCTCTGGGAAATGATGCTCCATACAAGTAGAAACTAAACAATGGCCCAGAAGTGCCAAATGAAAAGAAAATTAATTTGATCTTCCTGAATACAGTGACCTTCCTAATTTTCCTGGGATAGAGGTACTTATCAGAAAGAATGTGATACTTTCAATTTTAAAACTAAGACAAGTTGGTCCCCCTATTCTCTAAGGACAAAGAAACAGTGGATTTTGAACAGACTAGCAATCAGAAAGACTGAGAACAGACATTGGGGGCTAGCAGGAGAGCAAGAATGTGCATGTTTGGGAGATGATAAATAGCTCAGTGTGATCACGTCGGAAAGTAGCTGAAGATGATCATACACACAACCAAAGATACCAGTAATGAATGGGCAGAAGGATTAAAATTCCTCTGATTCAGACACTTTGGGAGAGATTCTTCTGTTGGAGGGAGACATTGTTACAGAATCAAGGATAAGGCATGTCTGGACCTACCAGTCTGACCACCAACACCCTATCATTTAGTTTTTCCTAACATTCCTGTTTGGTTCTCAGTTTAATGTATGATAGTCTCCAACACACAAATACTTTTAGGGTATGAATTAGACTTTTTGTTTTTCACATCTGCTACAGAATCTAGCAGAGCTCTGCACTTAGTATTATATAATAAACACTGATATGGATTGCTCAAAAGATCTTCTAACGTATGGCAAGGGGAAGGATCTGACAGGATCACAAGATATTTTCTGTCCAATGCCTACATTCTTTGACATGGCTTATTTCATGGGATTCTAAATGAATCCCACAAGAGTGTGGCCATCCAATGTGATACAACAACGGATTCAACAGTAAAGACAATGTCTGGCTTCCAGCCCAGGGCATTGGGCTTTATGAACTTCCTCAATTGTGGTGGTTAGGATGTTGGACTCAGCAAGAACTATGGCCACTCATCCATCCATTGTGTGGGGACTTAGCTTATGTGTTGGTGGTATGTCAATCTTCTTGTCAATTCAGAATCAGTTATGATTGAGGACTGAGGGGATAAGAAAGATAATTTCAAGAACAGAAAGTAAGCACCATCATGCTTTCTTCAAACATAAGCATAATGATTCATCTCTGCCATATCACAGGCATGCCATCTGGTGGCTGGGGAATCCGAGGTACTTTGCTAATTGAAGCATTCTTTCTATTCTCTGTACCCAGTGTTTGCTTTTTCTGGCACCTACGCCCTATTGTTTGTGGCTCGCACCCTTCAAGGCATCGGATCATCCTTTTCATCTGTTGCAGGTAAAACTGACATCATTATCAACACACACACACACACACACACACACACACACACTCCTTTTACCACTAGTGACTACCTTAGAGATTATACAGTTTATATGGGAAAGTTAAGGAAAACACTATCCTGGTAGGTAGAAATTGTTTCTGGAACAAGGTAATTTTAGAGTTGCTTAGATCTCTAAGCCTACCCTGACTTCCCATGATGCTATTCAGTGCAGCTCACTCAAGTCAGAATAAGCCCAAGGGAAAACTATGAAGTGGAGCTGGCTCTCTTTTACTGCCACATCATGGTCCTTTCTTTCTACTCCTTTATTTTATAGGACCAGTTATACCAGTGATTATCATCATAGTTTATTAGCATTGTCATTTACAATATTTCAGGGATCCTGCCATTTTATATGACTGAATTGCCTGAGGGCACAATTGCCTTTTATTGACAGCCTGCCCAGTATTTTCATTCTTTTTTTTTCCAGCACTGTGTTGAACAGAACAGTCCCTAGTCATAGATTTCCTGTTCCATAGCTACCTCATATATGGAAATGCGTTAGGAAATGACAAAACACTGTGAAATGTTGTTTCTAGACAATGGTGTTCTCCATTAATCTTCCCAGAAGCCTTTGTACTTCCAACAATATTAATGCAAAGAGTGAGTGCTGTGGAACTTAGGGAACCAATGGGTGGAGAGTGTTGGTATTTGCCAGAGTGTGAGCTCAGTTCTGTAAGGCCCCACAAATGAAAGCTCTCTCTAAACCTATCACTGAAGAGGTAATAGGCAGGGAGTGAGGGCCCTGAGTCAGCCATATAGAAATCTCCCCTATGCTGACTGCACCATCATGCTCTTCTCAGGTCTTGGAATGCTGGCCAGTGTCTACACTGGTGACTATGAGAGAGGAAGAGCCATGGGAATTGCTTTGGGGGGCTTGGCTCTGGGAGTGCTGGGTAAGTGTACCTGGATGGAGATTTAAGTTCAGGAGGTTAGGGGTGTGCTGAACCTCCAGAGATGGCTCCAGGAAGCAAGTGATACCAAGGCCATGGAAGACAATGACTATTTTTCTTCCCTCCCTCCCACCAAGGACCGATGATATTTTCCTTCCCCTTTAGAAGCCAAGTAGCCTATAAGGGCATCCTGAAACTCAGCCTGTCCAAAGCAGTGAAATTCCCCACATTCGTGGTAACTGCCTGCTGCATCTCTGCTTCCAAGGTTGGCCAATGCTGTCAATACAAAAGCAAGCCCTTTCCACATTCTCTGAAGAATTCATTGTGTGTATCATCTCTCTTATTCTTTACTGCCATCCCATGAAGGACAAATGATTGTCCCCAGGATAGAGAGGAGGATAAGAAAGGTCAAGGAGCCCTCAAGGTCATTCAGCCAGGAAAAGCGAGATCTAGGATGAAGATTTATGTTTTCTGTATTCAGAAGCCCAATGGTTATACTTCCCTTGAGTACGGATTATATGGATTGTGTTTATATGGATTAACTAATAGTACCAAAAGCTACTTATGTTGCTGAGCATTTTGTGCATGACAAGCACGATACTAGCACAGAGGGCATATGGGTAAGAAGATCAGACACAGTTATACCCTTTAGGAGTTACTAGCTCACCGGGAAGACACCAAAAGCCTCTTCCATGGCCCATTTCCTACCCTCTTTCACCACTGAGAGGAGTGGAAACAGAGAGCTCTATTTTGGTAGTATCCATGAAATTGAACACTCAACCAAAAACTTTGATGTATTCTGGATTCCATCATTCCAAATAAATGAGTCCATGATATGGACGCTACCCCACAACAAGGTCAGCGCCTTACCCCTCCTTGGTTAGCACGTGGCACCTGTATGATCCTGGTGCCATCTGGAGAATCATCCTGAGTCCTGAGCTGCTGGTGCTTCTCCTTGGCTAATTGCCACTGACATTTCTCCCTAGGCCACAAGGCCAAGTAGATCTCTCACCCGGATATTCAGAACACCTGACTAAGTGACCTCAACAATTCCCAACTTCTTTCTTCCCCTCCTAAATGCATATAATAAAAAAACCACTGGCTTTCTTCCTCCACCTCTACCCTCTCCCTTAACACCTCTGTGTTCTTCTTATGTGTTTATGCACTGCACTTGGAAAAGACAAGTCACTTGGTCTTTCTTACTTACTATGTTGGGCTTATATAACGTTTTGTACATATAACCATTCACTGTTGAGTTTTTGCCACGTTTGAATTAATTAGGCAACCCCTTTCCATCCCTACTATGTACCACCTTGAACATTCCCCTTCACTACAAACTGGGGACAGGGACAAGGTCTTTTCTCCTCCTCCTCCTCCTCCTCCTCCTCCTGGAGGTTTGTTGGAGATAAGAGTATCATGGTCTTTCCTGCCTGGGCTGGCTTTGACCCAGGATCCTCAGATCTCAGCCACCTGAGTAGCTAGGATTACATGTGTGAGCCACCGGTGCCTGGCTGACCAAGTTTTCTCTATCTTTGAACCTCCAGAACCTCAGATGGAGCTCAGCCCTTCATAGGTGTTTAGTAAATGCTCACTGGGTGTTGTGGGTGAGTCTTGCCTTTTTCTCACTGGCTAGATGAAACCTCGACTCTGTGTGACTTTGTCTTTCCAGTGGGCGCTCCCTTTGGAAGTGTGATGTACGAGTTTGTCGGAAAGTCTGCTCCATTTCTCATCTTGGCCTTCCTGGCACTTCTGGATGGAGGTAGGTTAACAATGTAGTCCCAAGCAGGTAAAAGCATGTGGAGATGCATTATATTGTGGCATCAGACTTGACTACTCATGGCAGGCCAAGCCAAGTTAGATGGATAAAGGATCTCCTTGATCACAAAAAAGAAGGAAGAAACTCAAAGTATTATGATATGGTAGCAATGTGGTTGTTATTAGAGCCATTGGCCAGTCAGTGGACAAATTAAACTCTCTTTGTCTGTCTTCTTTCTTAGTGCTCCAACTTTGCATCCTGCAGCCTTCTAAAGTCTCTCCTGAGGTATGTAGATATCAAGACCCATCACTAAGAGATACATAGAATGGCTGAGGATTGGTACCTCAGCATGTCTCTCAAACCATAGGGAGAAATGTGAAGGGATGGATACAGAGTAAGAATAGTCAAAACTGTTCTTGAATTTCCTGATGGAGTTATATTTGGAGTAGTATGTAGATGATCGTAAAGGAAGCTGGCTTAATATTGGACAAAGATGGGAGAAAGAATCTTATTTAAAAAACAGTTTCTTGTCAGAGGGAGCAAAGACTATAAAAGCCTCCAGATTGGCTTCTTCTAACAACAGACTTCTGTCGAGAGCCTCCCTCACAGAATCTCATGTTGTCACGGCTAGAAAAGTTCAGAGTTGGCATCTGTCTGACTTCAAGTCAAAGGTGGTTCTGGAAGATCAATGTCAAACCACATTGGGTTGAATTACTCAACAGGCAGAAGGACAGCTAAGAAAATGCATAAGATATGGGAATGTTCGAGCTAAAGATCTGTTCTTTGCATCCAATGGCTCATCAAGGTGTTTTGGAGGTAATTTACAGCTACACAAGTTCTTGATGACCTTGTGTATCCCATGAGCTTTGCCTAGCATGATATCTATGCCTTATCACACATATTCCATGGGTCAAGGACAGTCCTCAGCCTTATTCTACAAGCAGAGAAATAAAGCTACAAGCTCCTGAAAGAATTTGGCACAGTGACACAAGTGACACTTTGAGAGGGAAGGCTCTACCACCTGCTTTGCTGGGGCCTCTTTCAGCTTACCGACCTGTCAGCCCTTGGGAACTGGCTGTAGATGTAGAATGTCTGAGTCATGTGCTCTACCCACCTTGGACTCCTAAGTTCCAGAAACACCAAAGACCTGCTGCCTGGACTGCCAGGCCTGGAAAGTGCTTGGTTCTAACATCACTCTTAACACCTACCCAGGCTTAGAAACATTCATCCCGATGGTTCTGTCCCTATTGACTGAGCCACCTCTATGTTGCTAGCAATGATCACTCAGCAAGCAAGCTGAGCTGGGGATACTAGGATAAGCAGGGTATCCACAAATATTATTTCCAAAGCTTGACCCAAATAGTCATAATGCTAATGTTATTTTTTGGATATATGGAACATTATCATTTAGAAGTAAAAGTTACTGAAAGGTATACTCAGAGAATGTCAGTCCCTCCGTGACCTTCCTACCCTCCTTTACCCTTACTGCTTGTAAGTAATCAATTTAATGTTTTCTTATCCTTTTGTCCTTTTCCTCCTCAAACAGTTCATGTATGTTACATCCCTAGGCATTTTTATTACACATTCTTCTTTGAATTTCCCATTTTTTTTCTCATTTACATGTAAACTTCTTAGATTTTTTTTGTCAGTTGTAGGGCTTGAACTTGTGGCCTGAGCACTGTCCTTGAGCTTTTTTTGCTCAAGGCTAGTGCTTTGCCACTTTGAACCACAGCACTACTTCCAGTTTTCTGGTGGTTAATTGGAGATAAGAGTCTCATGGACTTTCTTGCTCAAGATGGCTTTGAACTGTTTCAGGTCTCAGCCTCCTGAGTAGCTAGGATTACAAGTGTGAGCCATTGGTACCCAGCTCCTATTATTTTTCCAGCTATGTGTTCCTAGTGTGAGCATATGTGTATCATATTTCATTCAAGTTCCTGTGTGAGCATTTATATAGATTAAGTACTTTGCCATTACAAATAGTACCTCAATAAATAACCTTATATGTGTGTTTGTGTATCTGTGTGTGTACTTATAATGTTGACAGTAATTTTTAAATTCCTAGAGGTAGGATTGTCACACCAAAGGATTTATTCAGATTCTGGATAATTTTATGATTTACATCAGTTTCTTTAAAAAAAACTAGGATGAAGGCATAATTTTGTTTTTAGGGTCTCAATATGTCTTAATCCATTGCTGTATGTATGGAAAAAGGATTATGATGTCAGAACTTTTAAATCTCTCACAGAATATAATGTATAGACACTAGAGATGATCCAGAAGTTAGAAAGAGGAAGAGATTCCATTTACTGAGTCAGAGAAGATGGTGGCAAGAAGGGTATATTTGAACTTGACCTTGAACAGTAGGCAGGATAAGGTGCTATGGAGCTGAGAAGGAAGGTGGTTTAGGCAAAGGTGACCGTGATAGAAGAGAGACTTCTGGGATATGGGAAGGAAGGTAGCGGCAGTGGGGAATGATCTGAGGAGCTCCCATGAGAGCAGCCGCTCACACTTTTCCCCAAGACAGACATTTTAAGCCCCGTGTTCAAGCTGTGCTGCTGCTCAATCCAGTGGCTCAGAAGCAGTTAGAGGGAAGATTTTGGATGACTAGGTTTACTGAAGCTTGGGCTGCAGTAGGCATCTGTGCTTACTTGGGGATTTGGATTCTGTGGCTCTCCTGGGAAGGACACAGAGGCCAGAGAGATCTTCATGGGAGGCTCTGGAACACCTGTTGTCAAACTCTGGTCTTGCTACCACTCATTGTGACCTGGCCAACTGGGAATTCATCCCCAGGACTGCCACAGGGCCTGCCTGACTCACAGGACAGGCTGGCTGCAGCTCACACTGGGATTCCAGGCAGGATACATTCTCTCTCTGGATGTAGGTTTCTGGGTCTCTGTAGCAATGGAGCTGAGGTAGCTGGTGTCTGAGTTCCTGTGAGCACATTCTCAGACTCTGTGAAAATGGAGAGGTGTGCAAACACTGTAGAAAAGGAAGCTCTTTGTTGTCTATATCCTCAGAGTGTCAAAGGGACTCCGCTCCTCACACTTCTCAAAGATCCTTACATCCTGGTGGCTGCAGGTAAGCTGGCCCTGGCCTCACTATCCTACAGGCCCAGAAAGTCTGTCTCCAGGCGGCCATGGCGGCTCACAGAACTCTCCTTCCTACCCCACAAGGTTCTATTTGCTTTGCCAACATGGGAGTGGCCATCCTGGAGCCCACTCTGCCCATCTGGATGATGCAGACCATGTGCTCTCCTGAGTGGCAGCTAGGTAAGTGACCTCAGTCCCTGTGACAGGCTGGGGCAGTCGGTGGGTTTTATGGGCCCTTCCTCAGGTAATCAGGAAACATCAGACCCAGGCATCAGTATTTCAGAGGGTGCCTGAGTCCCTTGGTAGCAGAATTACCTACCTGTCATGACTATACTCATGGATCCAGATTCAGAGGGTGAGCAGTTATCAGAAAAGCAACCAGAGAAAGAACAGGGAGCTGGATGGTACCTGCCTAGCTGTATGGTAAAGCCATTAAAGGTTTACAGTCAAAACACCTTGGTTTACTGGGTACCAGTGGCTCACACCTGTGATCCTAGCTACTCAGGAGGCTGAGATCTGAGGATTAAAGTTCAAAGCCAGCTTGAGCAGGAAAGTCGAGGAGACTTTATCTCCAGTTAACCACCAGAAAACCAGAAGTGGTGTGGTAGCTCAAGTGGAGAGGGCTCACCTTGATCTGCAGAGCACAGGGACAGCACCCTGACCCAGAGTTCAAGCCCCACCACTGACAAAAAACAAAAGAAAGCAAAACAACAACAACAAAAAAACGCTTGGTTTTTGTTTCTGCTCCTTTGACTGGCTATCCAAGTACCTGCAAGTCATTTAAATTCCTGACCACCACTTCTTGTTTTTAATGATAACCACTTTAATTATGTGAATTATAAATTTCATAGTTTACATGAATTATTCATTTACAGCTTATTTTGTTCAGTTGCTTTAATAATTATGAGAAGCACACAGGCTAGAGACTATGGGTTCTATATTATAGGTAAAAGCAGAAACCTTGTTCCCTTATTTATTTTGGGTGGTACTGGGAATGAATGAAACCCAGGGCCTCATGCATACCAGGTAAGCGCTCTACAATGCTACAACCCTAGTCTTCTTCTTCTGTTTAATAAGGCAAATGTGGCATATAAACTCTGGGCTTCTATAGCCATGAAGATTTTTTTTCATGCATTTTTGGCCTCTTCCTCCTGTCTAAAAATGGATATCAAAGTACCTTCTGGTTCAAAGACAAATTGTTGAGAACAAATAGCACAAGCTGTGGAGATGCTGTGTAGCACGTGCAGGTGCAGCACCTCCATTAACCACCCATACCTCCCCCCCTCCCCACCATCTTACTCCCTTTCTACCATCTTGTCTCCTCTAAGCAAGGGTGCTCAAGGAGGGTGAACTGTGCTCTCTCCCAGAGATCAATGGAGCTCTGTGCCCAGGCAGAAGGTTCTGGGCCTAGGAGAGTGGATCTCAGTTTCTCCTATTTCATGAAGACCTTCTGACTCATGTGAACTTGTGGGAAGCCCAAAGGAGAGAGGGGCCAGAGAAGGTTACGTGCAAATATGCATATGGCTCTGTCATTTCAGGAAGGAGAGAGGTTTATGGGCCCAGAGAGCAGTCTGATAAGGCTCTGATACAGCTCAGCACGTAATAATAAAAGGCACGGAATCTAATTTTGTGAGGAACAATTCTAAGCCAGGCTCCAGCTGCACTCCTAGCCCCAAATTGAATTTTTCTAGGTTGCAATTGTCTCTGACCATGACAATTAATTGAGTTAGTTGGTACTCAGTACAGATAAGACTCTTCTAGCCTGAGGCTCTGGCCAGTCAGGCTCCAGAGGGTCTGGGTATCTTTAGCTTGCAGCAGTTCTTCTCAGAACTGCTTGGTTACCAGCCTGTTGCTGGTTACCCAGTTGCTTACCCAACCTTTGCCATTGCCCTGACAGCTTTCCTCAGTGCTGTCTGCATCTCTAGCAGACAGCACCAAAAAGCAGCAAAGCTCTTTCCAAAGATGACAGCGGAGGCATTTGTCATCTGTCTGCTTCATCCTCACAAATGCTGGGATTACGGAATGTACCACCACAGCTCAGTTGTCTTCTTTCACTTGCAAACATGGAAGTATTTTCCCAAGGTGTTAGTCCGATGTGCATGGATTATGGACTCAGTCAACACAAATAATGACCATGTTCATAACTGCTTTTGGTTAAGTTGTCTTGATGGACCCATCTATGTGTAATTGGCTACGTGCTGTGAAGAGTCTGTATGTGTTGAAAGACACGTAGTGTGGGGCACAGATTGCGGCTGAAATGTGAGCGATGGCCTGGTTTGAAGAACAGGCCACCTGGACTGAGGCAAATCTCATTTAGGAAACTGTACACCCATTTGTAGAGATGTTAAGGAGACAAGAGCTAGGCCAGCGAGCTTCCTAGAAGAGCCTATTTTACACATCAGACAAATGGAGTACTCAGAACTTTTACTTTTTTTTTTTTTTTGGTCAGTTGTGGGCTTGAACTCTGGGCCTGGGGGCTGTCCCTCAGCTCTTCAGCTCAAGGTGAGTGCTCTGCCACTTCAGCCATAGTGCCACTTTCAGTTTTCTGGTGGTTACTTGAAGATAAGAGTCTCACGGACTTTCCTGCCCAGACTGGCTTTGAACGGTCCTCAGATCTCAGCCTCCTGAGTAGTTAGGATTACAGGTGTGAGCCACCAATGCCCCAGACTATTTTTTTAAAGCAATTAAACATAAAATAAATAGATATACTTTGCAACAGATTGCCACACTATGCTGATAAGAGAAGACAAATACCCTAAAGTATACTTCCTTTCTACTCCATACAAGAGAATATTAAAAGCAAACAAGCTTTCAGCCAGTACCTGGAGGTCTGTTGACTTTGGGCTTAGTGTCAATGGCCAGGGTGCTTTCTATTGGGCTACATTGTCTCCTTGAGGTGTCCTGAGAGGCAGAGGGAAGGTTGAGAGTCAAGGAAACTCACTGCTGATTTCAAGCTGGTCCTTAAGCCAGAGCCTATGCTTACCACACTGGGGAGGGTGGAAACACATAGTATTGGGGAGAGACAACCCTGGATTCGAGTCCTGCCCTTCACCCACTGGCTAAGATGATAATAACAGAGACCATTGACCCCAGGGCAATTACTCTCTGTCCAGCACTGCTCAGAATACTTGGTTTGTTGTATTTTCTTAATGCATCATGACCAACCTATCTGGAATGACTCTTCCCTGTCTGAGTAAGTTTTGCTACTATAACAAAATACTCAAGTGAACTGCATTTATAAAAGGCTTATTTGGATCACAGTTTTGGAGCCTAAGACTCCAAACAGCATTGCATGGGCTCTGGGGAGGGACTTGGGTGGATGATGACAATACATGACCACCTCCTCAAATAGGAAGTAAGAGAGTAATTCCAGGATCAGGGTCGCTCCAATCACTTATAACAGCTCACTGTCAGATTTCAGGAGTTCCAGGAGCTCCACCTTAACACATGGCCACATACTAAGGTCTTCCAATGACTGGAAGTCCTCCCACTCAGCCCCATTTCAACGTTGCTTTGCAGTGCTGGATTGCCAAGCAAGTCTTCCACCACTCGAGCCCCATCCTTAGCCCTCATCCCACTCTTAAAGGTCCTGGACCATTGCACTAAGGATCAAGACGTTTAGCACGTGAATCTTGGGGAAAGGAGGGAATATACACTCAAACTATATCTAAACTCCAGCGTCCCTTTATCTCAGAGAGTTTTTTTTTAATCAAACTCAGTTTTGTTCTTTCAAATCCTAGGCTTTGCAAACTGCCCCGTTGTTGCAAACATCCCTATGACCTCACCGTCTTCTCTGAATGGGTCGCCCTCGTGGAGGCCTGAGAACATTTTCCTGTAGCTCTCTAAACAGTTTCAGCTCCTTCAGGTCCTACTGTCCTTTGCTGCTTCCAGAACATTTCTGTTCTCCTTCAAGAATTGCTCAACTGCTTTGGGGATCATTCAGTTAGATTATATTTCCCCACTTCTCTTCAAGACAACTGTCTGTTGTTATTCCTCTTCACTCATTAAAGTCACCAACACCTCATCTTTCCAATTCTATCTCAGTTAGTGACCTTGGTATCTAGGTGGTTAGTTCTAGTAACATCTAGCCCTCTTCCATTATTTTTTGAGGGGTCTGGTTGTGGGGCCTGAACTCTGGGCCTGGGCGCTGTCCCTCAGCTCTTCAGCTCAAGGCTAGCGCTCTACCACTTGAACCACAGTGCCACTTCCGGCTTTTTTCTTTTTGCTTATGTGGTGCTGAGGAATCGAACCCAGGGCCTCATGCATGCAAGGCAAGCGCTCTACCACTGAGCCACCTTCCCATCTCCTTCTTCCAATTTTTAATCTGCTCTCTTGTGATGATCCTTTTCTCTTCTCTACTGGAACCAATCACTCCTACCTATACCCTGGTCTTTATGTTACTAAGACTGACATCACCTTTGAAAATGTGAATTCTAAGCAAGCCAGTTTTGACTTACCTCAGGAGTTCTAGAAGCTCCACAACCCTTGATCATGCCGTGATCAACTGTCTGTTGGCCTCGGTTTCTTTTTCTGTTCTCACTACTCATGTCCCCTCTCCCTCTCCAAAGTTGTCTGGTTGCTGCACCTCCACAGCAGAATGGAGCAGTAGAGAAACATTTGGGGGTTGTGTGGTCTCACTTTATTTTTATTTTATCCATTAAAAAATTACTTTCTCTTATTTATTTCATTTTCGCAATATGGGGGAATCAAACCCAGGGGCTCGCAGATTCTAACTAAGCATCCGACTATTGAGCTATATTCCAGTTTCTTTTCATTTATTTTGAGACAAGGTTTTCTAGATTGGTCTTAAACTCATGATACTCCTGCCTTGGCCTCCTGAGTAACTGGCACTCCAAGCATGAACCACCATACCCAGCGCCCACCTTTATATACACAGTCGCAAATCTAAAGTGGGGTTTTACATAAATATCCTTCCTAGGAGCCCCTCACCATGTATTTCTTTCTACTTTCCAAAATAACTATTTTATATCACTCCATTCAGAGGGCTGCATGGGCCTTTACACTTGGCTCTGTGTCTGTCTTAACTGCTCTGTCCTTTGCTCCATACTGATAATGAATGAATGAGACTCAGAGAGACAGTAAGTAAATTGTTCAAGGCCACAGAGTGTACAAGGAATGAAACCACAATGGGAGCCCAAGAGGGATGATCTGAAACCTGTGTTCAGAATATTTCACCCTTTTGTCACACAAAGGCATGTGTGGCAGAGCCTCACTTTATAAATACTTCTACAAATGCTACTCAATTGAGTCCTCTCTGTAACCTGGTCTGACATAATCACAGCTTTGCTTTTTCCAGGTGTGAGAAATGAGATTCAGAAAGGTTAGGTAACTTATCCCTAGCACAGCAATAAAAGGACAAAGAGAAGAAATAGCAAATCAGGGATTTTACTTCCCAGAAAGTCTATATGTTTTGCTCTGAGATTAATGTTCTCTTGTTAATAACCAAACATATTTTATATACACCAGTGGCTCACTGGGGCTCTTTGTGGGAGGGAGAGGCTCATGAACCCCGCAGAGGCCAAATAAAACCCTACTTCTGAGGAAAGTAGATACATAGGGCCCTGTGAGAACTGCTTTTGGTTTGTACAGGGATCTCCAAGCCCTACAACAATGATCCTTTGGGATCCTGGAAAGTGATGGGGGTCTGTAGGAGACAAACATTTTAGATGAATGTGGGCACTTCTTAAGGTAAGGATCTGTGTCCTTCTACAGGTCTAGCTTTCTTGCCTGCCAGTGTGTCCTATCTCATCGGCACCAACCTCTTTGGGGTGTTGGCCAACAGGATAGGTCGGTACGTAACCCGGGGTCTGGGAAGAAGGATTGGGGCATGAGATAGGACGGCCCTTCGAGGTTGATCCTGCACTTGGGATGATGCGTAGCTTCTCTGAGACTCAACATTTAGGACAAATAAATTGTGGTAAAAACTGCCCACAGGAAGCCTGAGTGGTGGATGGGCAGTGAGGACCATGGTGGTGGGGGAGTTGGGGGGGAGGAGAGCATTGTCCTGAGCTTCCACTGCTACAGCAGTGGAAGAACTAGTCTACACACGAGGACAGCCCTGAAGCAGATAAGCCCAACAGAAAACAGCTGTGGAGGGGCTGGGAAGTTGCCTCAGTGGTAGAGCGCTTGCCTTGCATGCATGAGGCCCTGGGTTCAATTCCTCAGTACCACATAAGCAAAAAGAAAAAAGCCGGAAGTAGTGCTGTGCTCAAGTGGTAGAGCACTAGCCTTGAGCTGAAGAGCTGAGGGACAGTGCCCAGGCCCCAGAGTTCAGGCCCCACGACCAGACCCCCCAAAAAAAAGAAAAGAAAAGAAAAGAAAACAGCTGTGGAGAAAGTAGTGTGTGCTTTGTAACAGTGATTGTTAACCTGTTCTGTGGGACCCAAGGTCATTCTATAGCTAGCCCTCAAGGGCATAGGATGGAATCAAGATATGCGGGTCTCAAGTTCCCTCACTACAATGTAAATAGCTACAGCTTACATTTTATCTTTGAAGTCCAGCATAAAGACCTTTAAAATAAATTTAAAAGCACTGCTATAAGCAATTACAGATAAGATTTTTTTTTTGCCAGTCCTGGGGCTTGAACTCAGGTCCTGGGCAATGTCTCTGAGCTTCTTCTGCTCAAGGTTTGCACTCTACCACATGAGCCACAGCACCACTTTCTGTGTATGTGGTACTGAAGAATCGAACCCAGGGCTTTATGCATGCTAGGCAAGCACTCTACCACTAAGCCACATTCTCACCCTCTAGATAAGATTTTTTTGGTGTGTTTTTAGAGGAGGATCTGTAAGACCAAATAAAATATAAAAAGGTATGGGGAATTGGAAACACCATGAATCAAGTTCAAGGGCTGCTCCCAAGAGTTAAATCTACTGATTCAGATTCACATCTACTGAATATGAGCTACTGTACCAGATTTGCTTCTGCTAAGGGAAGAGATGGGAAGCTAGGGAGGAGATGGAGACAAGGAAAGGGGAGGTGAAGCCCTGGGTACTAAGTGGGCATACAGCGGTGAAGTAAGCGTCTGTCCTAGCAAGGCTATTCAGTGTGATGGGTCAGGGTGGCAGGTGACTTTGTTTGATGATGATGTTTTTCTTCCAGGTGGCTTTGCTCCCTGATTGGGATGATGCTGGTAGGGACCAGTTTGCTCTGCGTAAGTATAAGGCCTAGTTGAGGGAGCGAGTCATTAAAAGACTATTTTTTTCTTTTTGAGTGGGTAGGAATTAGTACTCAAAGAGATGCTCCCAGTGGAAGCGGCATGCCATTGAAAGGAAGGATGCACGCAAGGAAGTGAGAGGCAAGTGGGTAGCGGGAGCTGGAGTTCCATGGCTTTATGTGAGGACCTACAAAGAGAGATGTGTTTGGCACATGTTGAATGGCACATTTTATGACCTCATAAAATTATAAAGTCACTATAAGTTCCCATAAATCATTAGGAGAACCAAAATTTATGGCTAGATCTCTAGCCTCCAAATACTTGGTGGAGGAAAGAAGGGCTTTTCCCTCTTCAAGATCCCTTCCATGCCTTTTATGTTGTCTGAGGCTTCATTTTCTACAGACCCCAGTGAAGGTCTTCAGTACACGGGCCTCTGGGCTTGAGAGAAGTGAGAACAAAACTCCCAAACTCCAGGCAGCATGCTCACGATGGGCTGGAAGTCCCAACAAGGAATGTGAGCTCAGCATTCTATCCCTAGCTTTGCCATTGCTCTTTGTGTGGCTTTGCGTTATCTGGATCAAGATCCTCATCTCAGTAGAGAGTGGTGGGTGGAATTAAAACTGAAGCACAGTGTGGAAAGGTGGTAAAACCTTAGTAAGCCTTGGCTAGCACTACTGATAGATATAAACACATCTTGGGACATCACCCCTCCAATTGTCATCAGCTGCTAATACCTAACAGGTATGTTAAACCTTGTTGGGGCAAATGCTCTGTAATAGTGGGTCTGGATGCCCAGAAAGGGAAGTAAAGAATCTATATAAGAGGAAAGGAAAGGCTTTCAGTAGAGGGTTGGATGAGCAATGAGAATGGATGTCTTAGCTTGCTGATGAGACACTTCAAAACCATGCCACTGTCTCTCCAGCTGTTGAGCTGTGAAATTCTTTGTTCTGCTTTGTGCTCCAGTGGCTATCAAACCAGGGGCTTCACCTTGGCTCCCATTAGTAATGGAAAGGATCCCGTGATGAATGAGGACAGTGTGTGTTGGGTGTGGAAGGGTAGAGGATGAGAAGAACCATCCATAACAGAAGAGGAGTTAAGCCTGACACTCAAACTTGGTCTTGGTATTTACTAACTTTGTAACTCTGGATGGGGCAAGTTAATGGTAGCAATGGTACCAATTTAGGTTTTGCATGTCCAACATGGAGGTAAAGATTCATCTTCCTAAGAAGGGGGAAGCATTGAGAGATGGTGCAGATGGTACATGGAAGACACTTAGCAGATGCATAGCCTCCACCTAACCATCCCGAAGCTTGATGAATTCATCTTTCTTCCTCTTGCAGGTTCCTCTGGCTCACAATATTTTCGGTCTCATTGGTCCCAACGCGGGCCTTGGCTTTGCCATAGGTAAGATGCACCCTCAGAGGTCACAAGAAGCCCTTGAAAGTTGCCTTTGGGTCAGATGATCCTCCATGATTTCACCTCGGAAGAGGCAGGTAGAAAGGCCGAAGCCGGAGAGCAGTAGTAGCGAGGATGCAGGGCGACTGGCTCCTACTCGCGTGTTGATGCGGTGGGGGATGGCTGCAGGCCAAGGGAATGGATCACATGGGGAGACAGAGGGTGGGGTCGCCACACCTGTAGGCCAAGCTGATTGGCTGAATCCTGTTTGCTCTGGCCACAGGCATGGTGGATTCCTCTCTCATGCCCATCATGGGACACCTGGTGGACCTGCGCCACACCTCGGTGTACGGGAGCGTCTATGCCATCGCCGATGTGGCTTTTTGTGTAGGCTTTGCTATAGGTATGTTGGTTGGGGCAGAGGGGAGCACCCAAGTCCAAGCACCCCGATGTCCCGAAACTCCTGTGGGCAAGTTGGGAGTGGACCCTGCCAGCTGATCATGCTGGATCGCCCTCTGGGTGCCCCACGACCCCCGGGCACAGTGGGTCACAGGGGATCTAGCAGGGCGCATGAACACTTGTGAACTCCACTTATTCCTCATAGGCCCGTCCACCGGGGGCGCCATTGTACGGGCCATTGGTTTCCCCTGGCTCATGGTGGTCATTGGGGTTATCAACATCGTCTACGCTCCTCTTTGTTACTTCCTGCGGAGTCCCCCGGCCACGGAGGAGAAGCTTGTAAGGCACTGTGGAAGCTCATGAACTCACCCCAAACCCATCCCTGTTTATTTCTAGTGTTTCTCTTACACCCTCCCCAGCCCTTTTTTTGGTTTTGTGCTCATTAGCTTACCTCTTGATTGTCTCTCTGTTACCACTTTTCTGATACCCATTTCATGTTTATCCTGCTTTTGTGCTTTTTTTTTTAATCTTCTCTAAGAAATGGCATCCCCTCTTGTATGAGTATTAAATACAGAGGAAAGGGAAATGGGAAGCTCACACAGGGTTGGAGGCAGGAGACCAATGAAGACATCCATCAAGGTGATTTTATAATTACTGGAGCTACTAGCAAGGTGTGAAGGACAATGTTATCTCTTCCATAAATGAGTGGGACTTCACTGGGCATATTCATTCATTCATTCATTTACTCACTTATTTGTTGGAATCTGCCATGATCCTTATGGAGTGCTCTTTCTTTGTGTCTCTGTGTCTGTGTCAGTGTCTATGTCTGTCTGTCTCTCTCTCTGTCTTGCAAGGTTTTTCTATATAGCCCAAGCTAACCTTAAACTTAGAATCCTCTTGCTTCTGCTTTCCCAGTGCTGGGATTATAGATATGTTCCACCATGCTTGGACAGGCCATCTCTTTTAATTTACAAAAATTCAGGGAAAAGATCTACATCATTATATTTAAAATGATAAGATCCTTTCTTTTTTTCCCCCCCGAGACCAGGACTCAAACTCTGTACCTGACATTTTTTGCTCATTTGCTGGCACTCTACCATCTGAACCATGCCTCCAGTCCCATTGTTTTGAGACATGAGCCTTCTGAGCCCTGCATGAGTTTGGGATGGGTATAGAAATTGCTTAAAGGAACAGAGGCAGAAACATTCTAAGATAGAGATGCTGCCAGTTTCAACCAGTTTCCTGATGCATCCTGTCATGAACAGGATCAATGAAAAGCCTATCTGTCATTGGTCCTGACTAGAGTTGAAATACCAGATCCTTGGGAGGTCTGTGCAGCTTTACAAAAGTAGGAGAGCACCGTACTTACTTCCGAGTCTCTCCTAAGCGATGGTGGGCTTGGATGAGCTAGTTGGAGGACAGCAAATTCAGGAGCTGGTCAAGCATGCTCAGTAATTTCTTTTCTTGCTTCTTGCTGTAGGCTATTCTGAGCCAGGACTGCCCCATGGAAACCCGGATGTACGCAACTCAGAAGCCAACGAAAGAATTTCCGCTGGGGGAGAGCAGTGACGAGGAGGCTGACAGTGAGGAGTAGGGTGGCAGGAAGATTCCCCTGTCCCAGGGAATTCATGAGGCTTCGGGGACTGTTCATGTCAGAAATAGACCATGAGGGTCTGTCTAGTACTTTACTTCCTCTCCCCTAGGCATCGCCTCCCCTCTCCTTCCCTCTCCTCTCCTCTGCTCTGCTCTCCTCTCCTCTGCTCTCCTCTCCTCAGTGCCAGGCCTTGGGCACACCTTTCATCTGTGTTACCCATTGTCTCCCTCCACTTTTATTCTGGGAGGAGAACAATGCTTCCTCCCAGGCCACTGAGGTCCATTAAAACTGGAGTTGAGAAGTTCTGCAGGTGGTGACTCATTTCCTGCTCCTGAAACCAGACTGGTGGTGGCTGACAAACTTTGCTTGATCTGTTCTGAGATTTTTTTTTCCTTTGTCATATTCCTGACAGTTTTGTCTTCTGTTCCCTGGGTTTTCCACCTAGCTGAGCTAAGCAAGGTTAACTGTCTTCAACGTCTTGCCAACTATGAAACTTTTTTTTTTTTTTACAAATAGAGTGGAGTGTGTGTGTGTGTGTGTGTGTGTGTGTGTGTTGTTTTCTGCTTTGTTTTGTTGTTGGTAGCTAAACCTTCAGCTGGGAAAATGCCTTTCCCCTCAGTAGATAGAGCCTCTTGCCCACTGTCTTATCTTCATTAGCCAATGAAAAGGAAAAGAGAATGTTTCTTTTATGCTTTAGTCACTCACCCTCACATTACTCCCCCTCTGTTTCTCCTTTGCCTGAACTTTTTAAGTCTTAGATATAAAAGTAGGGGAGTGACAGGCCCAAGAGTTCATGGGAAGAAGTAAAGAGATACTGCCTTGAAATTTCTCCCCGTGAAGATTTCCTAATAGCCATAAAAGGAGGCATTGTTCACACCTGTTAATGAGTAAGTTATTACCTAATTCAGTCACGGTAAGCCAGATGATGTTCGGTAGCAAAAACAGAGGAGGTGGGCAGAAGTGGAAGGTGCCATACACAGTATGGCATTTTGAAATAGTTATTGGATGATGAAGTTTCAGAAGAGATGACAACTTTGGCACCACCCCTGTGGCTTCCATCTAAGTAAGCAAACCAGATACACATGGTATAAGAATAACCAACACTGCAAGTTAATGTACATGTTGTGTGCAGTCCAAGGAGGCTGGGATGCTGCTGGTCTGGTGGGTACAATGTCAGGGATGGAGATGCACACAGAACAGGCTCCCCACCAGGTGGCAGCCCCACCAGGGCAGACTGCCCTATCAGATGGGTCCACCCAGGCTTTACCGGAAGGACGCCTGGTTCTGATGATTGCACTCTGTAGGTGGATGGGTTCAGGACATACTCTTAAACACTAGAACACATTGGGTTGACCCTCTCAATGAAACCTTTACTTCTTGGACAATGAATGCCTGATGAGTGGATGTGATTTCAGGAGTGTGTCATTAACTATAGAAGCTCCTTATCTGCAAAATCAGGTGGACTCACATAATCATCTAGATAGGGTGATATGTCTCAGATTTTGAAGTTGCATGAAGGTAAAGCTGGAAAATGTGTAACCACTGGTAATGATGAATACATGCCGAGTGGTCACAGCCATGCCTGCAAAACAGTATAGTACAAGTACAGTTGGATGTGCATGATGTGGCTGACACTTTTTAGTGGCCTCCTGGCTTCAGGAGACTGTCACAGGTAGACACTCCCTTAGTTCTAAGGAGCTGAGACTAAGATGACAAAAGGAAGATATTACTTCCCAGTGTGTTCTTATTTTCTGGAGTTTTTATTATTCCAAGATAAAGCCCAAGCTAAGATAATTAATGTTCTAAGATGATTGCTCAAGGTGCTTTATTCCTGGTGACAGCTCTGCCATGCCAATCTTTGAGGATAACATGGAGAGAAAGCAAGGTGTTCTGGGTAGTCCCTGAATGGGAGGTGATGGGGATCTTTGGGGTCTTTAGCATTGGTTTGTCTTCTGCATGCAGGCTGAGCTTTGAGGTTTGTGCACAGTGGGTTAGGCAGCTTGATTATACAACTCGTTTTTTTTTTTAACTTTGTGGATAAGAAGATGACTTTGTCAGAGAACTAGTGAAACAGGCTAGCATTTGCTCACAGCAGGCCCTCCAGTCATGCTGGGAGTGGCTTAAGGGAGGAATGTTGGTTGGCAAGAGCAGGTATGAGTCAGGAGCAAGCAACTCATGTGAACTTTCTAATTGAGTTCTGACACTCACTGGCTGTGGGACCCAGGACAAATCCTTTCACATCTTAGGGTTTCTGTAGATCTTTCTTTTTATGTTTTATTTTTCTCCTCACCTATGGAGCATTTTGGGGTGGCCAGTGTGAAGAGCCCAAGAAAAAGCTGAGGAGGGTTACCCCAACAACCCACCATCACCCCAGAAACACCATCTAGCCATGAAATGTAATTTCCTTATTTCAGGAAATTACTGGAAATTCCGTGTGTGTTCCTTCTTCCTTTCCTCCTTTTCCTCCCTCTCCTTCTCTTCTTTTATTTTCTCCTTCCTTGTTCTTTTTGCTTTTGTCCTGGAGGACAAGGAGCGCATGGTTGACATGGAGTGATGCCTGTTTGGATTTGAACACCAGATGGAGTCATTACACTGTGATACTGATGATGCTCACCTTGACAGGCTTTCTCTTCATTTGTCATCTTTGAACTTAATCTGTCTTCCTTTATTTTTTTTTAAATTTTATTTTATTTGTGAACAAACTGTACAGAGGGGTTACAATTGCATGGGCAGGATAATGCGTACATTTCTTACCAAGCATTGCAGCCTCCTCCTTTGTTTACCCTTCCCATCCCTTCCCAGCCTCCCCCCTCCCCCCCATTCCTTTATTTTTAAGTTTGAAAGTTTTTATTGTTATTATAAAGGTGATGTACTGAGGAGTTACAGTTATATAAGAGTACTTTTTTTTGGGTCAAGCACTGGGCTTGAACTCAGGGCCTGGGGTCCTGTCCCTGAGCTTTTTCTTTCAAGGCTAGTACTCCACTACTTTAAGCCATATTGCTACTTCTGGTTTTCTGGTAGTCAATTAAAGGTAAGGGTCTCATGGACTTTCCTGCCTGGTCTGGCTTTATACCATAATCCTCAGATCTCAGTCTTCTGAGTAGCTAGGATTACAGGCATGAGCCACCAGCAGCTGGCAAGAGTACATTTCTTTTTGGACAAGGTCACCCCTTCCCTCACCCTTTCCTAATTTGTTCCCTCCCATCTCCCACCACAAGTCGTATAGTTCATTTTCAACATAGTGTCCAGAGAGTGCCACTGCTGCATTCGTTTACCCTTCGTCCCTCTATTTCTGTGCCTCCCCTTACACACTCCCGAAGAAATATCATTGAACAAACAGAACAAAAAGGAAAGAAAACAGACACAGGAAAAAAGAAAAACAACCTCTTGTTTTCATTTCCTGGAGCTCATTTTGATAGATACTATTTTGTATAATCAGATGCACGGAGGCCTTGTGCTTTTTTGTTCCTCTCCTAAGAATGTCCTCCTTTGCTTTCACTGTGTGTGAATGCCTAGAGACCTGTATAATCTATCATGTCCAGGTGTATTTTAGATCTAGCTTCCACATATGAGCAAAAATGCAGTTTGTCTCTCTGAGCTTGGCTTACCTCACTTAACTTGCTTTATTCTAGACCCATCCATTTCCCTGCAAATGACATAAGACTAATCTGTCTTCTTTTAAGGGTAAATGGGAATTGAGTATCTTCACTGTCCCCTCTCCAAATATTATCATGTCACAAGGGGCTAAATGCATGCGAAATATGTGATCATGACCAAAGTAGCATTACTCAGGAGGGTCTGATTTTGTTGTTTCTAAAATTGCTGTTTGCTTCTTTCTGGAACTACACTTCCTTTCTTACTCTTCAGCCTTCCCTCTACCCTGGTTGAGCCACAGGTTTGTCTACTTTTATTCTATTTGCCCCTACCTGTACCAGCAGAAATTCTTCCCATAGTTTCCAGAGCCTACAGAGATCATGAAGAAAGGGTGCCATGCGGCAGAATTTAAAATGCTGTGTGTGTGTGTGTGAGAGAGAGAGAGATAGAGAGAGAGAGAGAGAGAGAGAGAGAGAGAGAGAGAGCAAACACTATCTTATCTTATATGGAGATCTAAGATTTCTCCTACACCACCCTAGTTTTCAAAGTGTTTTCCTTTATTCTTCTCCCTCTCCTTTCTCCCCCCTCTCTGCTATTGTTTTAAAAATTGTGTGAGTAGTATATCATTGAAGCGTATAACATTTGATTGTGTGCTTGATCAGTGTGGGCGTGTGGTCCTTCCTCACAGCACCTGTGAGCTCTCCACAATGGTAGCCTGTGCGCTCTCACCTCAGCCAGTCCTCCTCCATCCTCCATGCATCTCATTTCCACCCTCACCAATGATTTTTTCCTTTTTGGTCATGGGGCTTGAACTCAGGGCCTGGGCGCTGTCCCTGAGCTCTTCAGCTCAAGGCGAGCACTCTTCCACTTGAGCCACAGTGCAACTTCTGATTTTTCTGGTGGTCAATTGGCGATCAGAGCCTCATGAATGTTCCTGCCTGGGCTGGCTTTGAACCATGATCCTCAGTTCTCAGCCTCCTGAGGCGGGAGCCACCAGAGCCCAGACACCAATGAATTTTTGTCAGGGCCAGATGTTATTGCTCCCATTTTGCAGATGGAAAAAAATCTGACCCTGAGAGGTTATAAATAACCAGCTGGAGCTCAGAGACTCACCTGCTTTCAGAGTAAGCAGCAGAGCCTGCATTAAGATTCAGGGTGAGTCTGAGCTCTTTCCTCTATAAACCATTACCTTGACAAATACTTTCTGCTCATGAATAGTACTTAATACAGCCTGCTTGTTATTTTTCAGTGACTCGCTACCAAAGCTTGGGCTGTAGAAACCTTTCTTAACATTTTAAGGAACATACAATGCCTCCATTATCTGTTCCCACTGGTTCTCAGCCCTCCTGAGCCACCTGCTCAATTCTGCCTCCACACTTATCACTTACTCTTGCCAGTCAGATTTC